AACAGAAAACATGCCCACACATTCCCCAGCTGCCACTGCTACCCTCACATGTGATCACTCCCCCTCCGGTCACAATAGAATAGGAGCTCATTTCCCTGATATTCTGTTTTTAAACTCTGAATAAATATGCCAACAATTAGATTATTAATCCACTGTTGTCTGCTGGAAATAAATCTTAGAATTCTTCTTCCTATTTTTATAACAGCCACAGCTGCTTGTATGCTTCCATGTGATCACATCCCCGGCCACAACACAACAAACAAAGCACCAGAAAATAAGGCTCCATTCACACTAGGGCGTTCCAAATCACAGGTGGAATCGTCATAATCTTTTGGTTAAAAATGTCCTGTGAAAATGTGAAAACAAATGATTGCCTGTTCAGGTGCTATTCATTTCATTGGCACCTGAAAACGCAGAGCATTTTTGCCACAATCATGACACGTTTTTCTGCCCAACAAATGCATTTTGCTGCACTTTTGTCATGATTTTACCTGCAATTTAGCTGCAATTTTACCCATGATTTTGCCATGATTTTACTAGCGATTTTGCTTCAAATTTACCCAAGATTTTACCTGGAATTTTGCTGCAATTTTGCCGCAATTTTACCCGTGATTTTTGCCATGATTTTACTCAGAATTTTGCCGTGATTTTGCCCAGAATTTGTTCACAATTTTATCTAAAATTTTGCCACGATTTTACCAGCGATTGTGAAGTGATTTTACCCAGAATTTTGCTGTGATTTTCCCTGGGATTTTGCCATGGTGAACCTGCAATTTTACCCCTGATTTGACCACATTTAGGCTGCTTTTTTTTTTCATAGGTCATGTGACTAAAAAAAAGCAATAACTGAAGCATGTATTTTTAATGTATTTTTGCTGCATTTTCAATCCATTTCAGGCTTGCTGCACACCAATGCAGTTTGCGTTTTATCCGTTATGCAGTGCTTTTTGGAGTGTGTTTTGCGTTTTTTCACGTGCAATTTTTATGCTTTTTTTTATGCCTTTTGCATTTTTTTTTTATTTGTTTTTGGCCAACTTATTGCTGGGAAGATTAAAAACGCAAAACACATCAAAAATGTAACAAGGGTGTGTTTTTAAAGCTTTTTTTTTACAGCGTTTTCAATGCATTTTAGGCCTGGTGTATACCAATGCAATTTGTGTTTTGCCAATTTTGCCGTGCTTTTTTCAGTGCGTTTTGCATGCAAATTTTTGATGCGTTTTGTGTTTTTTACATTTTGTTTTTGGCCAACTTGTTGCTGGGCAGATTAAGGCTTCATTCACACTAGGGCATTTCAAATCATGAGCAGAATCACTTGGATTCTGGCCACGATTTAAAAACACGCTGTGAAAATGTGAAAATGTGCAATCACGTGTTCAGATGTGATTCATTTCAATGGCACCTGAAAATTCGGGGCATTTTGCCATGATCGCAGTGCACTTTTCCACAGGATAAATGCTTTGTGATTGTGCAAAGAAAAGCACAGCAAAACGGACAAAACACAGACTGTATTGGTGTGAACCAGGCCTGAAATGCATTGAAAGTGCAGCAAAAATCTTTCAAAAACATACACGTGTTACTTTTTTTATGCATTTTGCATTTTTAATCTGCCCAGCAACCAGCAAAACGCACCAAAAATGTGTCAAAAACACAAAATGAAATAAATTAGTCCAAAAAAGAATCTTCCCTCTTTCAACAAATATTCCACCTCTATTAAAACACCAAGACCTCCCCCATATCAGTGATAATTATATACGCAAACTGACAAAAATCATAAAAGCCCAGTGTCTCGGTAATCAATAAGTCAAAAATGTAGAACTTGAAAAAATTTTTTTTCTTGCAATGTTGAATTGTGTCCAATGACTTTTGTGAAAAACCTCAAACGCAAAAGAAACTCAGAATAATAGTGCATAACATAACACAAACAGAGAAAAAAAAACAATAAATAAATATATATAGGTGTAATATATATATATATATATAAATGTAAGCAGATATATATATATACACATACATGCACACACAAATGTATATCAAAAAAATGTGCACCACTAAGTGAGACAAAGTAGTGAAACACTTGTGAAACCTTCCAAAGAAAATTAATAACACTCGTGCTCAAGAAAAATAAAATCCTGAAGTGATCCACTCAGTGAAAATCCTACCCACGCGTGACTATAAACTTCTAGTGAGTAAGGCAAATATACCCTTACCAACAGTAGGAAAACCAGCGCCTTTATAGTACAATTTGTAGAAATCCTCCAAAGGAACTTTCTCCTCCTCTCCTCCTTCACTTGTTACTAGAGTAATGCTGTAATCCTCATTCACAAGCCTTGATCACAAATTTGCCAGGCTCCAATGTAATGGAAATTAACCATGACATAACTCCGTATATATTCAAAGTAGTACCATTTTAATGAATCTTTTACATTTAAAGTTAATTAGAATTGTGGTTTGGAACAAAGCCCCACTTTATATGGGGATTACCAGGCAGTTCACACACGAGGTATCCAGCGATTTCCCTTGGGATTATGGCCGCTGTAACACTTCCGGTTCCTGCTCCTTGCGTTTGACGTCACTTCCTCTTGACGCGTTTCGTCATAATCCGGGACTTAGTCATAAGAGGCTCTTATGACTAAGTCCCGGATATGACGAAACGCGTCAAGAGGAAGTGACGTCAAACGCAAGGAGCAGGAACCGGAAGTGTTACAGCGGCCATATTTGTTGGGGGAATCGCTGGATACCTCGTGTGTGAACAGCCTGGTAATCCCCATAAAGTGGGGCTTTGTTCCAAACCACAATTCTAATTAACTTTAAATGTAAGCAGATTCATTAAAATGGTACTACTTTTGAATATATACGGAGTTACGTCATGGTTAATTTCCATTACATTGGAGCCTGGCAAATTTGTGATCAAGGCTTGTGAATGAGGATGGTATTACAGCATTACTCTAGTAACAAGTGAAGGAGGAGAGGAGGAGAAAGTTCCTTTGGAGGATTTCTACAAATTGTACTATAAAGGTGCTGGTTTTCCTACTGTTGTAAGGGTATATTGCCTTACTCACTAGAAGTGTCACGCGTGGGTAGGATTTTCACTGAGTCATCACTTCAGGATTTTATATTTTCTTGAGCACGAGTGTTATTAATTTTCTTTGGAAGGTTTCACAAGTGTTTCACTACTTTGTCTCACTTAGTGGTGCACATTTTTTTGATATACATTTGTGTGTGCATGTATGTGTGTATATATATATATACACCTATATATTTATATTTGGTTGTTTTTTTTTTTTTCCTCTGTTGTGTTATGTTAATGCACTACTCTGAGTTTCTTTATTTTTGAGGGTTTTTTCAAAAGTCATTGGACACAATCAACATTGCAAGAAAAAAATTTTTTTCAAGTTCTACATTTTTGACTTATTGATTACCGAGACACTGGGCTTTTATGATTTTTGTCAGTTTGCGTATATAATTATCACTGATATGGGGGAGGTCTTGTTGTTTTAATAGAGGTGGAATATTTGTTGAAAGAGGGAAGATTCTTTTTTGGACTAATTTATTTGATTTCAAACTTTCAGGGGTTGAAAGTTTTTTTCTAATTAGGAATTAAAGTAGGTTTAAGGGTTCTTTGGTTTGATATCATATTCACATTGTATTTATAAAAAACACAAAATGCTCTGTGAAAAGCACTGCAAAAAACAAACTGCATTTGTGTGAACAAGGCCTGAAGTGAGATGAAAACACAGTGAAACGCATTGAAAACACACCAGTGCTACGGTTTTGATGCAATTTTATTCACATGGCATATGAAAAATGTACCCTAAACATGCACCCGAAATTGCGAGTACAATTATGGTGAAATCAAGGGTAAAATTGTGGCAAAATCACAAGTAAAATTGTGGCAAAATCACGGGTAAAATTGCTGAAAAATTCCAGGTAAAATTGTAGGTAAAATTGTTGCAAAATCACAGGTAAAATCGTAGGGAAAAGTCGCAGGCAAAATCACGGGTAAAATAGTCAGTATAATCGCCATAAAATTGTGGATATAATTGCTGAAAAATGGTGGGTCAAAACTCTGCAAAATCGCAGGTATAAATCACAAGTAAAATCATGGCAAAATTGCAGGTAAAATCACAGTAAAATCATGGGTAAAATTGTGGCAAAATCAGGGGTAAAATGCAGCAAAATCAAGGCTAAACTTATAGCGAAATTGTGGGTAAAATAGCAGCAGAATCGTGCGTAAAGTCACATTTTCGATGGCCATTATCAGCACCTTTTTTCCTATTGGCAAAATGCCAATAACACTTTCTTCAGTAGCTGATATATGGGTGCATCCCTAGTATATTTAGTATATACACTGTTACTGATGGAGGAGGTGCAGAGACTCCTAGCTGAAGCTATGAGAGGCGGGACAGACCCAGAGTGTCCTGAGCTGTCATTCTTAGAACACTGCCTAGGTGGGAGGTATACACCAGGAGTCTGACTCCTCCTACTACAGTGAGCAGGAAGGAAATACATCACAGCTTCCTGGAGGAAGGACTAAAGAGGGAATGTGTCAAGGCTAGTGGCTGGGGGAATAGGAAGAATAGCAGCCACCGGTCTTACAAAAAGGAAACAACAGGGAATACCAGTTTTATTTGAAAATCAGCAGCTTATTTCAGAGCAACTGCTAAGTGAACCAGAAGATGGGAGGACATATTTGGTGAAGGTGGGAGATCCACAGCAAGGACATGGAACAGAGTTTTTGCCCGGAATTCTACTTTAAAAATACAAGGGGGCATAGTAAGCATGCATGTAAGCTAATTTTCATCTTACATTGGCTATGTGCCCCAGGCTGACCCATTATGATCAGCGGTAAAGACCTTATGGTTAAAAGTATTCCAGCCTAAAGAAACCCCCCTTTGTGATTTATCAGGTAGTAACAAATGACTAATGATACCTATTGATTAGAGTTTCTCCAATTAAGCAATCTCACTTTAAAAGTATGAGTGTATCAAAAACCTACTCTCTAGTGCAGGGCTTGAAATTTCCACTCGCCTGCTCGCCAATGGCGAGTGGAAATTATGGTGGGGGCAAGTGTGTCCCCCAGGGCCGTCTTGCTGAGCAGGGCAGGATCTGTCATTGGCACTGGGAGCCGTCAGACTGATCAATAGCTGAGTGCAGTGAAAGCAAAGCAAGGAGTGTATGCTGTGCTCTCTGCCTCCCCCTAGAGTGCAGTACCCGGATCTGTGAGTGAACAACGAAGTACTGCAACTTTTTATGGGTGTGTGTGTGTACGTGTACATGTGTGTGTGTTTGTGTGTGTCTGTGTATGCATGTACAATTGTACATGTGTCTGTGTGTATGTACATGTGTGTATCTGTACATGTGTCTGTGTGTATGTACATGTATTTGTGTGTACATGTTTCTGTGTGTGTGTATGTACATGTCTGTGTGTGTGTACAGGTGTCTCTGTCTGTGTGTGTTTGTTGGTGGTGAGTAACTCTAAGGCCTGGCTATTAGCTTAGGACTTGAAATTTGAATCCCTGCTCTAGTGTATAAAGAAGCCTTTTCCACTTTGTCAGCTACATTTAAATGCAGGATTTTAAAAGACACCCTGTATTTGTCTCTTTGCATACTGCCATATTGCCCAGAGCATGTCATCAGATATCAGGAGAAAACCTGTCACTCATTGTCAGTGATTTTTTTAGTTCTTCAGCATCTTCACCTTAATTAGGGATGAGCCCAGTGTTCTCTGGAACACAAATTTGGAGCAAACAATAGCTGTTCAGATGTTTATTCAAATGCCAAGCATTTAGGGCTTTCAGTGTGGATGAATATAACAGCTTCCAGCTATCAATGGTTGCTAAGGAAAGAACTGGTGCTTTCACCTGCTGCATCCTTAGCAACCACTGACATCACCCAATCCCCCCCTGTCCTCTTCAAGATGGGGTATGAGGAAAAGGTGCTTTGCTAGGCCCCTAGCAAGGCACCCCCCATGTTGTGGTCTGGTATGGTTGAGGAGGGGGGAGTGCATCATCACTCTTTCCCCTAGCCAGGCTGAATGTTCAGATCAAGGATCTGGTATAGATTTTTTGAGAGGACCTTATGCATTTTTAAAAAAATATTTGCATGGTATGAATTATGCGAGACTTGGTGCACATTTATTCATGCTTGCTGTTGGATGTACTGCAGCAAAAGTGACATTTACAAAGAAAACAGCACACTGGCCCTTCCAAAGGTCTCCCAAAATATATAGCAGACCTTTAGAGGGGAATAAAATGTTATTTGCCAGCCTTGTAATGATGTTTCTTCATTTGAAATTATCACTGGTGCTGTAGCACTTTCTGTACATTACAGAGTTGTGCCCCTTCACATGCAGGGTTAAGGAACCCCCTAGGCATGTTATTTAACCACTTTCCTACCAATCACTTTTACCTCCTTCCTGCCTAGGCCAATTTTCAGCTCTCATTGCTGTTGCACTTTGAATGACAATTGGGCAGTCATGCAACACTCTACCCATATGAAATTTTTTATGATGAGGCTGCAATGATATGTGGCACTGATGGGCACTGATAGTCGGCAATGATGGGCACTGATGGCAGCACTGATGGGCACTAATAGACAGCATTGAAGGGCACTGATAGGCAGCAATAATAGGTGGCACCAACTGGCAGCACTGATGGGCACTGATTGGCAGCATTTCTGGGCACTGACTGGCAGCACGGATGGGCACTGACTGGCAGCACGGATGGGCACTGACTGGCAGCACTGATGGGCACAGATTGGTAGCACTGATGGGCATAGACTGGCATCACTGCTGGGCACTGATTGACAATGATAGGCAGCAATGATGGGTACTGTTGGAGCTGCACTGATAATCAGGACACTAATAATCAGTGCCCTGATTATCAGCGTAGATATCTTCTTTCACACTTGCCGGTTATCAGCAGTGCTTTCCTCACACTGTGTATGTTTATATCGTGATCATCTGTGATTGGACACAGTTGATCACGTGGTAAACAGCTGCTATGATTGGCCCTTTACCATGACATGCAATCAGCTGTGTCCGGAGGACACAGCAATCACAGACAGCACCGGGTGCGCACAAAGAGCGAGAGTGCCGGGGGGCGCAGTTCTGGGAGGATGTCATATGACACCCTCCCAAAACTGGACGACTGCACTGTAGCCGCTATTTGGCTATAGCGAAGTCAGCAAGTGGTTAAAAGAATAGTGCATTTTAGTATTTCAGTTTAGGCATTTAAAAAAATCACCTGTGTTGGCCTAATGGAATTTAAAACTTTTTTTTGCATTGGTACATGTCCCCCAGGGCAGTGTCCACCTTCCCCCACATGTATTTTATACTCCTTTTTCCCAGAAAATGCCCAGAAAATTAGAATTGTTGACAGATTTGTCTCGCATTGATATCAGTGGGGTTCAGGTTTGCCATTCAAACTGCTTTGAGGTTTGCTGAAACCCTGCTCAAAACAAACTCAGGGCAGTTCAGCTTTCTCCTAATAATAATGAATTCTGTCTGTTCTAAAGCAGCAGGAGTACAATTGACTAACTTTTTATGCACTATCTCTGTGGAACATTTTTTGTATCTTGCTGATTGTTAAGTAAACTTTTTAGATTCTTCTCTGAGCTGATCCTTTACTGTTACAGTCTGAACTCTACCAATAGAATGTGGATTACTGCAGTTCACAGTGATACTAATAAAGTTTGTTTATTTTTTGCATATTAGTGTGCACGGGGTCTGAACTTTCCTGTGTTCAGTGTTATTTTGTGTAAATTTTAGGGCCCATTCACACCAGAAACTGTGCATTTACTGAACATTGTTGCATGTGCACAGAATTGCATTTGAAGCTCTTTTATTATATGCATTTGCAGTGCATTTTTTTGTAAGTTGTCATTTTTTTTAGTTCTTTAGGCTTTTAAGTGCACTGCATTGGATTGCAGTGCATTTTTCTGCTTTTGCATGCACATGCATTTCTGTGCATGTGCAGTGCAGAAAAATGCAGATTTCTGTACTTTTTTCACTGCACTGCACTGTAATAGTGTGAACAATGCCCATAGGATAACCTGGAGTCTGGACTGTCTGTGCAATTGGAGCGCAATCAAAAATGCATCCCATTGCTTCTGGTGTGAATGGGCAAGTTGCCTGTCCATAAACACAGCAAATGTATCCATTTGTAAAGGTTTACTGTTTAAGCACAGCCGGGTGGAGCATGCTAAACCACATTCTGCAGAAAATTAAAAAAATAACAGTCTGCGCCTATGGAAATTTACCAAATAGACACAGCTTGGCTTACATCAGCTCAGTGCTACATACAAATCAAACAAAGGGCCAATTACATTTTCTGTGGTGACAGACATTTTACCACATTGAAAATTTCTGTCACTGCAGGCACACCCAGGAATTAATTGTTTCCTATGTGTCCCATTAACACTGAAATACAGTCTAGTTCTGCACTGCTGTATGCTGCGGTAAAATGTTGACATGCTGCATTATACTGCAGTGCACCAAGCTGAAACGCAGGAGCTCAGCTGTGTGATGCGCTGAAACGTGCACCATACTGCCCCTAGCACAGCCAATAATACAGTGCAGCCGCATTGGTGAATTTCTCCATCTGCTCTGCAATTTAATGGCTTTTCAGTGAATATGCCCTAAATGTTAGTAGGAATTTAGTAAAATTATCTATTCCCATTGTTACATTTTATATGCATATACACTGTACTGCCAAATGTATTGGGACACCCCTCCAAACCATTGGATTCAGGTGTTCCAATCATCTCCATGGCCACAGGTATAAAAAATCAAGCACTTAGGCATGCAGACTGCTTCTACAAACATTTGTGAAAGAATGGGTCGCTCTAAGAAGCTCAGTGAATTCAAGCGTGGTACCGTGATAGGTTGCCACCTGTGCAATAAGTCCATCCATGAAATTTCTTTGCTACTAAATATTGAATGGTCAACTGTTGGTGGTATTATAACAAAGTGGAAGCAACTGAGAACAAGAGAAACTCAGCCACGTGGTAGGCCACATAAAATGACAGAGTGGGGTCAGCGCATGCTGAAGATCACAGTGTGCAGAAGGCACCAACTGTCTGCAGAGTCAACAGCTAAAGACCTTCAAATGTCTTGTGCCCTTAAGATTAGCACAACAACAGTGCATAGAGAACTTCATGGAATGGGTTTCCATGGCTGAGCAGCTGCATCCAAGCCTTATATCACCAAGTGCAATGCAGAGCGTCGGATGCAGTGGTGTAAAGCACACCACCAATGGACTGTAGAGCAGTGGAGATGTGTTCTGTGGAGTGATGAATCATTCTTCACTGTTGGCAAGCCGATGGACGTGTCTTGGTTTGGCTTTGCCAGGAGAACAGAACTTGCCTGACTGCATTGTGCCAAGTGTCAAGTTTGGTGGAGGGCAGATTATGGTGTGGGGTTGTTTTTCAGGGGTTGGGCTTGGCCCCTTAGTTCTAGTGAAGGGAACTCCTACGGTGTCAGCATATCAAGACATTTTGGACAATTTTATGCTCCCAACTTTGTGGGAACAGTTTGGGGATGGCCCCTTCCTGTTCCAACATGACTGCACACCAGTGCACAAAGAAAGGTCCATACAAACATGGATGAGCGAGTTTGGGGTGGAGGAACTTGACTGTCCTGCACAAAGTCCCAACCTCAACCCGATAAAACACCTTTGGGGTGAATTAAAGCAGAGACTGGGAGCCAGGCCTTCTTGTCCAACATCAGTGCCTGACCTCACAAATCCGCTTCTGGAAGAATGGTCAAATATTCCCATAGACACACTCTTAAACCTTGTGGACAGCCTTCCCAGAAAAGATGAAGCTGATAAAGCTGCAAAGGGTGGGATAACTCAATATTGAACCCCACAGACTAAGACTGGGATGCCATTAATGTTCATATGCGTGTAAAGGCAGGCATCCCAATACTTTTGGCAATATACAGTAGTGTATATACTGTCTGTGTATATATATATATATATATATATATATATATATATATATATATAAAAGAGAGAGAGAGAGAGAGAGAGAGAGAGAGAGAGATTGAGCATGTTTTTACTGAAGTAAGGTTTACCTACATGCCAATACAGTGTTTGGACTGGCACCATTTTGTTGTAGCCTTGAATATATACTGTAGCTATAGGTACAAGCTACAATGTTCCTCACAGCTTTGTAGATTATCACGACTCATTGGGAAGAAAACGAAATCACAATGCTGCATAGTGATGAACTTATTAACCTTATCTCATAACTGTATTTAATTTAGGTTGGTACAAAATAAATGAAAATATTCACAGCTTGCTCATAGCTTTATCTTTCTCTATTCTTACAGCTAACAGTTGTCAGTCAAAGTAGCACACCACCCACGTGTCTGTTTTTCTAAGTAATGATTTTCCTGTCGAGCACAGGCAAGAGATGGGAACATCTCCTAGGACTTCTGCTAATAGAA